AATACTGTCCAATAAAATAAGTCTTTTTGGTTCCTGCATTATTGGTTGTCTAACTTGCCATTAGTTTTTATTAAAAAATAAAATTATGTATACATAGGTACTGACTGCAATTAAAACAAAAGAAACTGTCTTTCTGTCCCTACGTGGTCTTTTAATTATTTATATATTTATTATTTTACCTATAATTTCTAATCAGATAAATGCTTTTTTGTTTATGTTGAATATGGTGTAAGGAATATTAATTGGGTTTCTTATAACATAAAACCAATAAATACAACTCACACGAAAGCAATATTTAATAAGGTGCACATATATGCAAAATAATTCAATACAAACCTTTCCTACAATTTTCAAGACGAAAATTTACGCCTGCAATGACGGTCTCTCATATTTTCCCTCCAAATTTTGATTTGTTTGAGCATAACCTGTGCCACCCTGAAAACAAATAGAAATTAATTTTTTAAAAAACTGGCATCAGCATTTTACTTATTGGTGTAAGCCTTTTTGAAGACTACAATTACAAAAGTTATTATGAATAAGCCTAATGGTATTTTTTACACATTAGGTTTTTGATGGTGTGGTATATGAAGGTCTTCACATTTAAAACCATACACAAAATTGACAATATATAAAAAAAATTTACATGTGCTACATCAAAAAAAAGTAATTCATTTTGCATTAATTATTTATGAAATAGTTAAGTTTAATAAATAGTTAAAGCTCACTCTCTGCATAACAATAATGTCCTTCTCTTTTAATTTTTGTCCTGTCAATGGATGAGTCCAGTCTTTTTTAATAATCTTTTCAATACACTCTAAAGTAACTACATCACCCCTGAAAGACAATAATAAAAATTAGTTAAGATTCAAAAAAGCAATAAAAGAAAAAAATTAGTTCTGTTTAGTATCTACTTATTAATTTTATTAATTTACGTGGGTCGTAGTATAGCACATGGAACTGAATTACTTAAAACATCATGGGTAATAGGGCACATATACCGATTCTCTTTAATAATTAATGATTTTGTGTCATCAGGATCTTTCACTTTTGTAAATTTGACATCAATCAAGTCCTTTGCTTTTAATGGCCTTCCAGAAATTGGACAAAGAATGGTGCTATCCTAAAATATATAAAGATTATTACTTTGTTATTTTAAAAGGTTACTATAATTCACAGGTTTCTCAAGCTTTGGTTTTTGAGCATTAGGTGTTTTTGATGGAATCCAAAAACTAGGTAACTCTTTATCTTTGCCATTGGCCATATTTGATACTGATGGTACAGGTCTGTTTTCTACAAATCACTTGCATATTTAAACTTCAAATTCAATTTATATTATTGATTTACCTTCCTTGAATCCATTAATAGGTTTGCTAATAATGTTGTTTTCAGTATTAAAAAACTGCTTCACCTTATTATTTGTCTCTGTTAACAATTTTTCTTCATTTTCTTCATCCTCTTTTTTCTTTAATTTCTCATATTCTTTAAGTTTCTTATTGTATTCAACTTTCTTTGAAATTATATACTGCAATATAACTTCTTTGTCAAACAAATAACCATCTTTCCTAAAAACATAGAATTGTCTTTAAATTGTAAAGCATGGTTAATTAGAGAAATGACTTACGTTATTACAGGATTTCGACAGGGTTGTAAAGATAATGAACAACAATCGAAATCTTTTACAGAGTCTTTGCCTATTCTTTGACTTTGGGTACCATAGCCAGAAGCTTTAGCATCTTTCTTTTTTTCGTGATAGGTATACACAGCACCAGCAGTACAGTTTCGTGCATGCCTTGTCATTATTAAATGTAATTTTTCTTGTTAGTATGATTAAATATTTATAACCATTAATATTTAACTGTAATTGTCACACTGACAACCATAGCTGACAACTGACATCATCTTATATCCATAGATACGTCTACATCTCATAGTGAACACGATTAGTTACGTTCATCTTATTTGATTCGTTGGTTTTATTAAACTGAATGGAGTACAATTATGAGCGCGAATTCTAAAAATTATAAAATTGACTTAGCTTTTCTTTATTGTTATACATAATGTTTGTTTCGAACAGAATAAAGTTTTATTAGATTGTCTAAGTACATTCTCTAATTTAAGCATAACATTAAGTACATAAATTAATAATTATAAATAAAAATATATTAATCAACTATACACCTTAAATAATTGCTAACAACTAACAGGTAATATGTTGAATGACTGATTAATAAATAATTGGCACCTTTGAATTTTAATTAACGACAACTATAATTTCCTTCCTTTTTAGGATTGAGCTGAACCAAAGGTTCCTGCAGGTGGACGATAATATTTAGGTAATGTTAAAATTTGCAGAGCATTAAATGCGTATTTACGTATATTTATATTTTTTTGAGTGTTCTCCCTTCGACATCCTTCACTGCAAGACGCAAATTAATTTTTGAAGTATACCATAACGTTATTTTAAGAAAATCCTACCTTCGCATACAATCCAATGCTCTTTGAAATTCGTGTTCTGCTAAATGATATTCGGAAAGCAAAATATTACATTGCTCTAACGTTACTGCCATACCCGTTCGATCTTTGGCACTTTTACAACTTGTAAAACGAAGTCCTTCAATATTAAAAACAAATTAATGTTTACAAAAAACTCAAGTAAGATATTAAGAACTGAACTTATGAAAAATGACGGAAATAATCTGAAATTTAGATAATAAATGAAAAAAAACAGTTAAACTTTCATGTAAGTCAAGTAAAACAACGAAAAAAAATTAAAACATGGAACTAGTTTGATCGAAATGTTTGAAAGATTGAATTTATGATAATTTTTATTGCTATACTTATGTTAAAATAGTTATTTAAACTTACTCATCATCTTTTAGCTTTTAGGTTTTTATTTAAAATTAGTATTTGTAAATATCAATATTCAGTAAAACTGCATTAGATGTAGAAATAAATCATCTGAATATTCACTTACCTTTCATTTGACGAGATATCTGCGATGCCAAGTGTAGTATTGCTACGTTTTTATTTTTATTTCCATACACCTCGCTCCTCAGTTCGTCGACAAGGTCCCCCAATGACCATTGTTGAGGCGAGCATGCAGACAATCGATTGTTTGTGATGTTGGTATCTGGTATGTTTAGTTTTCGATACCTCAAATAATACTCGTTCAATCTTTCAAAATTGTCGATATTCGAACGTTCCTGAGGTTTGGTTGCACCTAAACTTTCCGCTAGTGTTGCCATCTCGTTTATACCAATATTAAAAAATACCGGCGTCACATGAAAATAGACAACTTGTTTTGTTGGTAAAAGGGCGTAAAAAGAATCAGGAACGGGTAAAGAAACGGTTAAAGAGCTTCTACTTCCGCTGACTTTGGGTGTAGGATGGGGTTCAGTAGATGGACTGGGACTGCGGTGGAGTGAGAACATTACAGTGCGGAGATCTTCAACTGCCACAGACATGTCGCCCCACATATCGATCTCGTTACCGTGGTAGCTCAAGTAGCACTCAAAACAAGCCAAGGGACCCAAACTGACCAAACAAGTTACAAAACTGGGATCAGGCTTATGACACCACAATCGTGTCAAAAGAGCTGACACGAGAGATGTTAACTAGAAAAACGAAAAATGTCAAAATTTACAACTTTTCTGCTAATTTGAGTAGACCAAGGACCACACAATCTACCTATGCTGTTAGATTTATTATATATGTACATACAATATTTTATTGTAGCTTAATTTGTTTTTTAAAAAGTAATATTTTTCATTTTGTGCTCACTTACCGCTTGTGAAAAACAAACGTCCCTTCGATATTGCACATTGCAAACCCTTTGTGCCGCTTTCGGATCTTGTTGCACCCTAAAAACCGAATGTGTCAATCTGGCAGTCTTCAGTAGTCCATCCATCGCCTGTCTCAATTTTCTCATGCTCGGTCTTAATTCTGCCGACCAATCAGTGATTTTATTTAAATCAAGTCCATCGGTGAACTTGTTACCGTTCCTGACCACCTTGGTAACGGTATTCACAGCCTTTGTGACAGCCTCGCTATCTTTGCTTGCAGCTTTTAAGTCTTCCTTGTTAACACCGGGCTGATTAGTGATCACAGAATTATTACGATTACTATTGACTTTTTTCGTTTGACGTAAGCGCACTGCCGGACTTCCGCATCGGCCACATAAAAACTTCACCTTGCTAACAAGGCACATTACGCTTGCTTCTATATTGAGTTGTGTTAAGTCCCAGGGCTCTGGTTCGTCTGTTGGCTTGTAATAATTTGCAGATGGGGAGCTACTCATAATATTTGTGTCTAAAAATATACGCCCTGTATCTGTTTCAAGTGGTTTCCGTTCTTCATATTGTTTTATTGCATTTGTATTTTCCGTTTCGATTTCAACGTTTGGATCTTCACATTCTGGAAATAGGACAAAATTCGTTTCGTCTGGAGTTTTGACTTTCGAGCAAAGACTTCGAACGCCCTCGCTGGTGTTTAATAAGTTCAGTTCTTTTTCATTGCGAGCTATTTTCTGGGTGTCACGCATTTTCCAAACGTCTTCGATATTTTTAGGTGTGCAAGGAGTCGCAAAATCTTCCAAATCAGGACTTTTTAGATCCAATGAAGTTAACTGTTGCGTTATACGTTTAAATGGCGATAAAAATAGACCCTTTCTCCCGTTGATTTCATCACCAAAGTCATCACTGACACCGAAATCATCTGTTATAAGTAATTTGTGTTCTTCAACAAAGTTAAGGGCTTCTTCTACTAAACTGGGATCCCAAAGAGTAAGGAGAATACGAGTCTTTTTAATCATATCTTCGCATATTGGAAGCATACCAGCGGTCTGTTTCTCTTTAGCTAATCGCATTAAAGTTTTCATAGCTTCTACTACCTCTTTACGTAATTGTTTTATGGCTTGGATGGCATCGTTTGCTGTCGATATTTTGGTAGATATTTGGTAGTTCGTGTTAGCACGCAAGGGCGACTCTTTAAGCTGCTGGACTAGTCTGCAATTGACGTAAAAATTAAGCAAAAGCAGTATATAATGTGTAGAAATAAATTACTTGATAAGCCCTCCGTTCTTGGACTTATGAGAATGTGCAGTAAAAGCACCCACTGTAATCCAATCATAAAACCCGCTTTTGTTAAGCGTGTCGTTGTAAACCCATATTCGTTGAAGATGTAAGTTGATAGGGGCAAATTCTAAACTTCTATCCATTTTTCGTGAACTAGGTTTAAAGAAACTACCCCTATGAGCTTGCAGGTTTTCTCTTGCTTGGGAATACAAGCGTAAAAGGTGAAGATGACGATCAAGGAGTTCGACTTGACGAGAATGCCATGGTTCACGTAATTCACCCATTCCTGCTACTTCTTGCAACAGTTCTTTTTCTTGTTGTATCCAAATGCCTCTGAAATAATTATTCATATGAAAATTACTGCCGAGTGGTATTGGAAAATATAACTTACAGGAGTTGATGGGGAAATGAAAAACAAATTCTACTTTCAGCCATTATTTCGTGAACACAAATATCTCCACCTAAGCCAGAATGGAACCGATAGGTCTGTTCAAAGGGTAAAGCAAATAACAATTTTATTTCAGCTTGACTAGGAAGACGCATTTTTATTCCTAGCCTTGGTGGTAAAGAATGGGATCGACGATGAGATATCTTCTTAAACAAAATGATTACATCAAAAAGGGTTAATATATATAATAATAGATAATACTTCTTACTTGGCTACTGTTGGGCACCACCCGACAAGGCGTGTGTTCTGTGCTGCTTCCTCTGTCTTCTCCCTCCAAGGCCCATGCAGACAGGGTAAGGAATCCTACTGTATTTTGTGACTTGTTGGTTAAAGGTATTCTCAGTCTTGATGAATCTTGTATGGCACTCAGTAAGACGCAAGCGGAACCAAGAGGGATTGCCGTATGAGACACTTTCTCTCTAACGTCAAACGCGGTAAAACGGATAAGGGAATCGCTACTTAAACCGTCCGAAGCTCGAAAACTCACCGTTGTAAAAAAATTTGGATTGCTGCTCCTCTAAAATATAAACATAAAATATGTATTTTTTTTTAACAAAATAAATAAAACCAAAAAACACATACCTCCACTACTTCACTGCGAGAATACTGAACCCAACATTTATTAGCTGCCATATAAACATCAATTACCAAAGTTGGATTAGGAGGTCGACCATGACCATCGCATAAAAGATTATCACATGCTAGAGAAATTTCGCAAAGTGGAATTTCCGATACNATTATGTTAATAAAATGGAAACAATGCTATTAAATTATTAAGACATGCTTAACGATTCTTTCCAAGTTAACAACAGAACATCACAACAGTAGGGTCATGCCTTACCACATTAATTAATTTAATGTACATTAAAAAAGTAAGAACTTACTCTCAGTTTTCCTGAAAAACCCTTCTTGTCTTTCCTTTATATATAGCACTCCTTCTTTTTCAAATTTTGTTGAAGGTTGAGTAGCAAGAGTGATTAATTCTTGTTTATTAAATCGCATAATTTATTAATTACGTGCACTAGTCATAATTTGGTACCTTAAACCCTGAAAAACGATTTTCATAGTAGTAATCAAATTTTGAATTACATAAATTGCAAAAAATTCTTGAAGTACATACCTATTACAAAAATTGGTCAATATTTTAATAATAAAACTTTTTAAGCAAATTGAGTTGGAGGATTGCAAACATTACATAAAATATGTATTTTTTTTTAACAAAATAAATAAAACCAAAAAACACATACCTCCACTACTTCACTGCGAGAATACTGAACCCAACATTTATTAGCTGCCATATAAACATCAATTACCAAAGTTGGATTAGGAGGTCGACCATGACCATCGCATAAAAGATTATCACATGCTAGAGAAATTTCGCAAAGTGGAATTTCCGATACATCTGTAAATTGTAATATTAAATAACATTTACAGTTTACACTTGTATTTTTACCTAAAATATGTTGTTTCTGAAGTCGCCACATTTGCAAGTCTGCGTACGGTTTATGATTACGTCTTCGTTCGAGACATTGCTGTAGAGCATGTAGTTCAGCTCTAATTCTCTCATAACTAGCGTCACGTATAGCCTGCATCCAACTTGAACGTTCGTATTCAGAATTGGCAGCCAATGCTTGACAGAGACCACCATCGAAGACTAAATAAAACAACGTTATTATACACTTATTCAGTTAATTTGAACCAAAATACGCCAAGACGACTGGGATAAGTTTATTTTATTTTTATAGAAATGAAACATCCAGTATAACGTGGCCAGTATCAGAATGACCAATAAACAGGTACATTTTTGCATTACTATTATCATTATTTTATATTTTGCGAGTTTAATAATACAAAAGTGAGTAAGGCAATTATTACTCTTTTCAAATACCAAGTCTATTAAAAAGTACAAAAATTCCAAGTGAACCCGATTTAATGTAGTGTAATTTGTCTTTTTAATCCTTATTTACATTCTCACAGTATTTTTAGTTATTTAAGGAAATTAAATAATTTCAGTTCACCGTCAGTTAATGATTAAATAAAATGTTGAATTTATAAACATGAATAAAAGTAATATTACACGTACAATAAGATTCACTGCATATGTGAAATAACTGTGTAACTTTAGTTTTTTCCTATTTTTTTTTTTTTGTTAATAAAAGTGCAGTTAATGTTCATGATAAGATTGTATGTTACCTAAGTAAAACGAATAATGACCATCTGTTGGTAGAGGAGTGGTGGGAGTGGGGGGATCTAACCGCACCTGGCACTGTTCTAGCACAATAACACCAATGGGTTCAGACCATGGCTCTCTACTTTTAAAATAAAACAATAAATTTCCCCTCAATCGACACCATCTTTCTAAACTGACTGAAAAAAGGAAAAAACACATTAAATAGTAAATCATGGCAATTTTATCAAAAAAACCGATGGTGTTAAACAATACCTTACTTACCCCTACAAATACAAAACATACAAAAGCATGATATGGAAAGAATGCTAATTATGTAAAACAATTGCTGTTAAAATGTACGATATACAAAAAATTATTAATTACATCTTCAACAGTTACTTAGGTATCATTAGTATTGATTCGAAAAAAACGCATCTACATTTTGCATGTAAAGCAACTGTAAAATAATAACAGCGTCAATGACACCAAATAATTGTAACTTAATATTGTCCTTACATTTAATCCGATTGTTTAACAGTTTTCATGAAACATAGCTTTTCGTTTGCTTAAAACCACTGTCCCTACCCAATTCTAGTCTCAGCTAATGAAAAGACAACACTCGTTAGTAAAAGTGATTGTAAAGCAAAATATGCGTGTTGATGTTAGTAAGCTCAGTGTTAGTTTTTTTATTAATGTGTGCGTTCTTTTTCCATCCTGTAAAGTTCGCAATCAAGTGTTAGTTAAAAAAAAAGTTTAAACAGTTATTACACATACAGGATAGATAGACATTTCTGCTTTAATGAAGTACCTTTGTTGACGACCCCTACACAGCTCAAATTGCGGAGACGTTTTTGTTTTGCCCTTTTGTTTCCCTTTCCTGCAACGCATGTTATAAATCCTGTATATATTTACTTAATATTTTATAATTATTTATACTGAAATGTATAAATATGTTATTAAAAATTAGTCAAACGTATTAGATTCAAAAATATTAAACATTATGTTTACGTATGTACGTATCTTTAAAAAGTGACGTTACTTAACGTCCTCTTCTTTGGTGTTATTTCTACTTAACATTTGTATTGATATTATTAAAAATGAAACGTTAAGAAAACAGTTTTAAAAGAGAATTAATATAAAACTCCAAGCGGTATACAAACCTACTTCAAATGTAAATAATTAAACAGTTCTTTTTCTTGTTGTATCCAAATGCCTCTGAAATAATTATTCATATGAAAATTACTGCCGAGTGGTATTGGAAAATATAACTTACAGGAGTTGATGGGGAAATGAAAAACAAATTCTACTTTCAGCCATTATTTCGTGAACACAAATATCTCCACCTAAGCCAGAATGGAACCGATAGGTCTGTTCAAAGGGTAAAGCAAATAACAATTTTATTTCAGCTTGACTAGGAAGACGCATTTTTATTCCTAGCCTTGGTGGTAAAGAATGGGATCGACGATGAGATATCTTCTTAAACAAAATGATTACATCAAAAAGGGTTAATATATATAATAATAGATAATACTTCTTACTTGGCTACTGTTGGGCACCACCCGACAAGGCGTGTGTTCTGTGCTGCTTCCTCTGTCTTCTCCCTCCAAGGCCCATGCAGACAGGGTAAGGAATCCTACTGTATTTTGTGACTTGTTGGTTAAAGGTATTCTCAGTCTTGATGAATCTTGTATGGCACTCAGTAAGACGCAAGCGGAACCAAGAGGGATTGCCGTATGAGACACTTTCTCTCTAACGTCAAACGCGGTAAAACGGATAAGGGAATCGCTACTTAAACCGTCCGAAGCTCGAAAACTCACCGTTGTAAAAAAATTTGGATTGCTGCTCCTCTAAAATATAAACATAAAATATGTATTTTTTTTTAACAAAATAAATAAAACCAAAAAACACATACCTCCACTACTTCACTGCGAGAATACTGAACCCAACATTTATTAGCTGCCATATAAACATCAATTACCAAAGTTGGATTAGGAGGTCGACCATGACCATCGCATAAAAGATTATCACATGCTAGAGAAATTTCGCAAAGTGGAATTTCCGATACATCTGTAAATTGTAATATTAAATAACATTTACAGTTTACACTTGTATTTTTACCTAAAATATGTTGTTTCTGAAGTCGCCACATTTGCAAGTCTGCGTACGGTTTATGATTACGTCTTCGTTCGAGACATTGCTGTAGAGCATGTAGTTCAGCTCTAATTCTCTCATAACTAGCGTCACGTATAGCCTGCATCCAACTTGAACGTTCGTATTCAGAATTGGCAGCCAATGCTTGACAGAGACCACCATCGAAGACTAAATAAAACAACGTTATTATACACTTATTCAGTTAATTTGAACCAAAATACGCCAAGACGACTGGGATAAGTTTATTTTATTTTTATAGAAATGAAACATCCAGTATAACGTGGCCAGTATCAGAATGACCAATAAACAGGTACATTTTTGCATTACTATTATCATTATTTTATATTTTGCGAGTTTAATAATACAAAAGTGAGTAAGGCAATTATTACTCTTTTCAAATACCAAGTCTATTAAAAAGTACAAAAATTCCAAGTGAACCCGATTTAATGTAGTGTAATTTGTCTTTTTAATCCTTATTTACATTCTCACAGTATTTTTAGTTATTTAAGGAAATTAAATAATTTCAGTTCACCGTCAGTTAATGATTAAATAAAATGTTGAATTTATAAACATGAATAAAAGTAATATTACACGTACAATAAGATTCACTGCATATGTGAAATAACTGTGTAACTTTAGTTTTTTCCTATTTTTTTTTTTTGTTAATAAAAGTGCAGTTAATGTTCATGATAAGATTGTATGTTACCTAAGTAAAACGAATAATGACCATCTGTTGGTAGAGGAGTGGTGGGAGTGGGGGGATCTAACCGCACCTGGCACTGTTCTAGCACAATAACACCAATGGGTTCAGACCATGGCTCTCTACTTTTAAAATAAAACAATAAATTTCCCCTCAATCGACACCATCTTTCTAAACTGACTGAAAAAAGGAAAAAACACATTAAATAGTAAATCATGGCAATTTTATCAAAAAAACCGATGGTGTTAAACAATACCTTACTTACCCCTACAAATACAAAACATACAAAAGCATGATATGGAAAGAATGCTAATTATGTAAAACAATTGCTGTTAAAATGTACGATATACAAAAAATTATTAATTACATCTTCAACAGTTACTTAGGTATCATTAGTATTGATTCGAAAAAAACGCATCTACATTTTGCATGTAAAGCAACTGTAAAATAATAACAGCGTCAATGACACCAAATAATTGTAACTTAATATTGTCCTTACATTTAATCCGATTGTTTAACAGTTTTCATGAAACATAGCTTTTCGTTTGCTTAAAACCACTGTCCCTACCCAATTCTAGTCTCAGCTAATGAAAAGACAACACTCGTTAGTAAAAGTGATTGTAAAGCAAAATATGCGTGTTGATGTTAGTAAGCTCAGTGTTAGTTTTTTTATTAATGTGTGCGTTCTTTTTCCATCCTGTAAAGTTCGCAATCAAGTGTTAGTTAAAAAAAAAGTTTAAACAGTTATTACACATACAGGATAGATAGACATTTCTGCTTTAATGAAGTACCTTTGTTGACGACCCCTACACAGCTCAAATTGCGGAGACGTTTTTGTTTTGCCCTTTTGTTTCCCTTTCCTGCAACGCATGTTATAAATCCTGTATATATTTACTTAATATTTTATAATTATTTATACTGAAATGTATAAATATGTTATTAAAAATTAGTCAAACGTATTAGATTCAAAAATATTAAACATTATGCTGCCGAGTGGTATTGGAAAAT